TGTGTCAATCCATTAGCTGGGAGTCTTCCTCTCTTTCTCTGACTCTCCATCTTTCCCAGCATAATGTTCCTGTCTATGGTTTAGATGCTCTTGACAACATGTCCAATGTATTTGAGAAGAAACTTTACCATTTTTTGCCTCTAAGTAAGACGTTGGTTGCTCTTCTTTCAAAACATACTTATTTGGGTTTTTAGCAGTCCAAAGGCTATTTAGTGCTCTTCTACAACATTTCAACTAATAGGCACTGGTTCTTCTTCTGTCATCCTTACTTATTGTCAAATTTTCAGATGCATAACAAGTAATTGAAAAGACTAGATCTTAGATCAGGTGCACCTTAATCTTTAAACTGATATTGTTGCTCCTTTGCATTTTGGAAAGGTCTTTTACAACTGATTTTTTAATGCAACATGAACTTTCTTGACTACTGTTACAATGACTGTTGATTATGGATTCTAATAAAATGAAATCTTTGAAAACTTTAATCTTTTCTCCATCTACTATGATGTTATCTATGGGTTCAGTGGTGACGATATTTGTTTTCTTGATATTGAGATGTAATCCATCTAGAAGGCTGTAGTCTTTGATCTTCTGCACCAAGTGCTTCAAATCCTAGTAACTTTCAGCAAGCAAGGTTGTGTCATTTACATAATGCAAATTGTTAATGAGTCTCCTCCGTTCCTGATGCCACATTCTTCATAGAGTCCAGGTGCTGGAATGATTTGTTTGGCATACAGATTAAATAGATATGGAGAAAAGATATATCTCTAATTCATACCTTTCCTGATTTTAAGCCACACGTTGTTCCTTTGTTCTGTTCAAACATTTCTTGGTCTAGGTATAGGCTTCAAAATAAGCACAGTTAAGTGTTCTGAAATTTCCATTCTGCTCAATATTAGCCATAATTTGTTATGATCCACACAGTTAAATGCACAATAAATAAAACAAAAACTTTTTTGTGGTATTATCTGATTTCAGACAAAATTCATCTAACATCAGCAATTTTATTTCTCATGCAAAGTTTCTTTTTTAATCATTTTTTGTTAGTTTTAATGAAAATTTACAGAGGCTTTGGATTTCCATTCGTTTATTGTTGCACTTTTCTCCCTGCCCACCCCACCCCCCACAAGGCTTCAGAATCCAGCTTGAATTAATGCCAGTTCTCTGTAGATGTACTAGCACAGTTTAGAGAGCACATTCTTAGCTGCATCTGCCTGCTGAAGCATGTTAACAGGTGGACTCATCAATTCCTAGATTCTTGTTTTCTGCCAATGCGTTCAGTGCAGCTTGTACGTCTTCCTTCAGTACCACTGGTTCTTGATAATATGCTATTACCTGAAATTACTCTATGTCAACTAGTTTTTGGTATAATTAGTCTATGTATTCTTTCCATCTTATTTTGATGCTTCCTGAGTCATTCAAGATTTTGCCCATAGAATCCTTCAGTATTTCAGCTAAAAGACAGAATTTATTCTTCAGTTCTTTCAGAATAAGGAGTGATGAATATGTTCTTTTTTTTATTTTCTAACTCTGGCTCTTTGTATATTTTATTATAAAACTTTATCTTCTCAGGGCTCCCTCTGAAATCTTCTGTTCATCCATTTTGTGTTAGCATTTCTTTCCTTTGTTTTTCCCTCTGTCTGTTCTGGTGCAATTTCCATTTTCTTCTGACATTTGGTCTTTTCTGGATCCCCTAATTATCATGACCATTAGCTTTCTTCAGGAATGATGTCCTTGGTGTCATCCCACAACTCATCTTGTCTTCAGTCAATAGTGTTCAATGTATCAAATCTATTTTTTCTTTTCTAAATTTATATTACTTTTTCACTCATTGTTGCACATTTTTTTTCACCCCTCTCCCATCCCACCCTGCAATACATCCATTGTTCCAGATTACTGTCATACATATAAAAAAAAAATCTTTATTTTTACTTTCAGGGAGGATAGACTTGAGGTTGAATTTTAGTTCTTGTGAATTTCTTTTCATTTTCTTCAACTTTAATTTGAACTTGCACATGAAATTCCAGTAATCTGTTTCTCAGTCATCTTCAGCCCTTATTTTAACTACTGATATTGAACATCTTCATTGAATCTTTCCACATATGTAGTCATTTTTATTCCATTGTAGTCATCAGAGAAGGTTCATGCGTGTAGTCATCATCTCTTATGTTCCTTATGCTCTTTAACAAGCTATTTGGAGCTCTGGTGGTAAGAAGCTGTGCTGTAATCCAGAAAGGAACACAGTTCAAATCCACCAACAGCTCAGTGGGAGAAGGATAAGCAATCACCTCCCGTGTAATTAACTGCCTCTGAAAACCTGCTGCAGGGTCAGCTATGGGTCAGTTCCAACTCATTGGTACACAATAAGAACAACAACAACAAATCATTGTACAAATTAAATCATTCAATCTCCAGCCTCATTTTTGTTACCAAGTCCGTTTTCTAACTTTGTTCCCACTTTTTGCGTTCCAGTCACCAGTTATTATTAATGCATCTTGATTTCATATTCAATGAATTTTAGACTGCAAAAGTTAATAGAAGTCCTCAATTTTCCATGTTTAGCATGTAAGTTTTAATTAGAGTTGTATTAACAGTTCTTCTTTTGATGTGTGTGCACAGGTAGTAAAAAATATTTATGGAAAGGAATGAATGGGCAATTTATTAATAATCTTCATCATTACATGAAGTTATTTATAGATTTTTTACATTTATTTTATTATTCTCCCTGCCCAGCCCTCCCCCCACCGCAGTTCACTCTTCTCTTTGAAAAGTAAAAGAAAAATTCTTTTATTGTTATACAGTCCCTCCTGCTAAGTCCAGTCCACTATGCAAACTTTGTTCTGGACAGTAACATTAGACTATATTTAAAAGATCAGAGGAAATTGCAACAAATATACTAATAATCTCAAATACCTTTTTAAAAATCTAAATACAGTTAATATAGTGTAGTTCATATATTCTGTTTGTATTTAACCCTTTCTAGCAGTGCCAATCCTCGTCAATGGACGGTTAGCTTTGGAACAACAATCAACCCTCCATTAATGAAAAGAAATATCAAAAGAATTATTGTCCATGAGAGATATCGTTCCCCAGCAAAAGAATATGACATTGCTGTTGTACAGTTTTCTCCCAAAGTCACCTTCAGTGATGACATACGTCGCATTTGTTTGCCAGAAGCTTCAGCAGTCTTCCGACCAAATTCTACCGCTTACATTACAGGATTTGGAGCTCTTTACTATGGAGGTAGGTATTGCTGAAAATATCACAGAGAATGCTTAGAGCAGTATGATTTAATCAACATCAGTATTATCTTGCCACCATTTCTGTACAGTTTGACTGCATTAGTAAAGGCTCATATTTTGCAAGAAACATACAAAATTGAAAACTTATTGCTATCAAATTGAAACTGACTCTTCAGTGGATTTTCAGAGGCTATAAATCCTACCAGGAAATTAAAAGGTGCATTGCCATGGGAAAGTCTGCTGTTAGGGACCTCTCCAAAGTACTGAAGAGCAATGGTGTCTCTCTGGAGACTAAGGTGCA